AGAAACGACCGTGGGACGCCCATGGTTCTGGACAACAACTATTACAGGAACATACTGGACAACAAGGGTTTGTTGATTGTGGACCACCAACTGGCTTATGACAAAAGGACCAGACCTTATGTGAAGAAAATGGCCAAGAGCCAAGACTATTTCTTCAAGGAGTTCTCTAGGGCCATTACACTCCTCTCCGAGAACAACCCTCTCACCGGTACCAAGGGTGAGATCAGGAAACAGTGCAACCTTGCAAACAAACTTCACTAAAACGCTTCTAAAAGAGAGCCGAGTTTGGCCGAATAAAATGGTTGTTTCTTGTCCTAGTGACAAATTTGTTTTTGTGCATTGATCAGTAATGGTATAATAGTACTGGTTTGATATGATCCATTCCAGTTTCTAGGATGCATATTAGTCATTGGCGCAGAGGATGTTAGGATGACTATCATGTATATATGTATGTATGTAAGGATGGTGTTGATTGTGTATGACGCATGGATTCCGTGATTTTAATAGTTATGATGGTTCATGCATATACCCCTTCCTTCTCCATGACGATATCATATTCCTGATGAGTGCAGATAAGGCAAAGCCAAGATTAGATATAGCTAAAATTAGATATAGACATTAAAAAAAAATATAATGATTTATTAGGTATTTAAATTTATAATTTCGAAAATAATGTTTAATTTGTCTAATAATTAAATTTATAATGACTTAAATTATTATTAGACTAAAAAATTGAGAATATTAGATTATCATTCAATTTTTTTTATAACCATTGATTTTTAATGTATTGATCAATTAATTCAAATCAGGTACTGTAGAGACGATGATGATCTTTTCAACTCAGTTTGTTTTATTCACAATCATCAAGATTCGAATTCCTGATATTGTTTAAGAGATCTAATATCTCATCCCGTTAGATCAACCGATTATTGGTATTAGATTATCATTCTTTAATTTGATCTCTATTTGATTAAATATCTAATAAATTTTTATATTTCTTAATTTAAATATTTATTTTTACATTAACTAAAATACTATTATATTAAAATTATTGAATATAAAATAATTTTACAGGCTCAGACCCACTTAGACCCTAGGGAGCTCCGCCCCTTGTGCAGATTATTTGAATATGTATAAATTTAATGAAAAAGACACATCCCAACGACAACAATAAATGAAAGTGACTATGGCCCTCCAAGTTGGATAAAAATATTCCAGCCAATGGGATATTTAAATGGGTTGAATCTTTGTGGATAGAAGATAGATTTGCACATATAGTGGAGATGATTCCTTTCTGTCAAGAAATAGACTCTTGATTCAATTTTTTTTATGTGGGCCTGTCTCTCGCTCAATAAAAGATAGTGTAATATTGATAGCGATGGCCATTAATTATATCATCCAATTCCTTCATCTGCTATATAGATATTTAAATTTCGGATTTTTGCTAATGAGTAATTAACAACTTCAGCTTTCTCTAATGCAACTCGGTCTGCAATTTCTACAGCATAAAACATTAAGAAATCAGAACCTTGTAGCTAAAGAATTGCAAGCTGGGCCTGGGGTGGTGTTTCATAAGGTTGTCTGCTGTTACTTAAGATGCCTTGTTTGTGTTTCGTTTTCCCTGGTGAAATGGGGAACCGTGAGCTTTAACCACGCCAGGCAAGCAGTGCCAGTGGCAGCACCAGGGGAGTAGGGAGAGAATTTCTCATCACCCCAAATGGTGAATTTTCATTTCTTATATCAAGCCTATAAATAAGACGAGTCGAGTTTAAGTATTACTGAAATCGACTTGAATTTGAAAACCTCAAAATTGAGTTCGGCTCAACTCGAAAGTTCACGAATTTAAAATTATCAAGTTCTACTTGAATTTAAAATCAAAAATAAAAATTCAACTTGAACTCGAATCATTTTCAAACTTGACTAGGAGCTTCAACCTAAATCTTATAATACATTTTAAAAATATATATAAACGGTGTTTTTCCTTTATTCAATTATAATACAAATGTCTTATCCATCAAAAAAAAGTAACATTACAATAAATTTTGGATAATCAATAAAACACCTAAATGTGCCTAGGTGCACACCCACTAAAATGCTTTTACAATAAATGGTTGAGTTGGAATTTGAAATTTTTTTTTAAAAATAAATTATTCATAATTTATTTTAAAAATATAAAATTTTGATATATTATTTTTTTCGAATTACTCGTAAACTTTTTGAGTCGGGTCTTAAATAATTCATCTTGACTCGTTAAGGACTCAAATTAAGTTTAAACTCAAATCGAATCCACTTAAATTAAATGTTAATCAAAATTCAACTCAATTAAACTTAAATAACTTATTTCTTTACATCCCTATTTGATACTTGGCAATTTTGTAAACTAATCGAGGATAATAATTCCAATTTTATAATATAACCTTAGAGGTTGGTAGGCTGTGGCCTAAGGGTACATCAGAGGAGTCATGGAAGGTGCGCCTATGCCAAAGATTTTATGGGCTCAAGGCGGAGCTTGAATAAAAATCTGATCGTCTAAATCAGATAATGAGGCCCAAAGAGAGTGCTTCACCCATCAGGTTTTGCTATCCAATGGCGATTAGTAGCTGCTGAGACTAAAAAGATAAAAGAGAAAAAATGGGCAATACAGTGAGCCCAGATTCCTGTGAATTGTAAAGATCTCGTTTTCAGTTTGCCATGTTTGACAGACAAAACTTTTTTAAATAAACCCAACGAACTTTTCATTTCCTAATATTGGGTTTAGAAAATTAGATTGGAAATCTGAATAACCAATCAGCAAATGAAGTGAAAAAGAGTGGAGAAAGGAGATTTTGTTCTCTCCTTTTCTTCTTAACTTGTGCATGCATGACACAAAATGAGAATCTAAGAACAAAAGAACTTCAACCAATAACCCATTGTGAGCAGCCAATGGGGCCTCAAAATATCCAAAGAGAGAAATAATGAATGGAAGGAAGGAATGGTTCTAAATCTAAACAATTTGATACTAAAATTAATTGGAGAGCCCCATCACATGAGGATTTCGAAGTCATGTTCTCGCAATAAGGCATATGCCCTATTCAACCATCATCCATCCTACACACTTTAACATTGTTTCTTCTTTGGTTACAGAGCTTTCTCTATCTCGGAGAATTATATTTGTCTAGTTATGGTATCCTGAATCTTGACCTTATTTTCTCTCCATCAAAATCAAATTTCTTTTATTTTTCCTTCAAATACATCAAATTTGGTTTTGGTTAATCCCTTTTACTCCCTTTGCTTGTATTCCTTCAATGTTACTTAACCGCATGGCGAGACTAAGTTGTTTACTCTCTTATGGAAAAGTTGTGCTATTTCTTGAAACTCTTGCTTGCAACTATCAATGCTTAGTTCCATTTACAACTCTCTCTCTATTCACATTATTATAAAACAATTTATTGAAGTAGTATCATTAATCAAAATAATTCAATACAATTTGTGAATAAAATAAAGTTTAATATTTATAAATCAAATAATAATAGTAGTTATGTTATCTTAAATTTCTATATAATTAAAATGCACATGACAATAATCCAACTCCATTTCTGTTAACACAAAATAATAATCCAAAAGTAAAATACTCTCTTGTAGAGTAGAAACTACTATCGTATTTTTTATTAGGGTAAACTATAAACTTGGTAATTGAATTTTACTTTCTCTTCTATTCTATTTTACTCACTTTACTTTAAATCTTTTCAATTTCCTCACTTAATTTAATACATTGGGTTCTTTTAGTCACTCAACTGTCTTCTCACTAACAGCATTATAAGTGGGTTGTTACATAAATGTAAAACAACGTTGTTTTGGTGAAAATTTTGTTTTTTTAAAACAGCTTCGTTTTAACGTCGTTAACTATTTAACGGTAGAGTGACAAAAAATCCAATGTATTAAGTCTAGTGAGAAAATTAATTTTTTTTTTAAATTCAATAAGCAAAATAAGATAGAGAGAGTAAAATTCAATGATGAAATTTGAAACTTACCCATTTCATTAGGCAAGTAATTTCATGTATATCCAAAAGAAAGCAATAAAAGTTGGTACAATTAAAGAAGTATCGCTCTTTATATAATACAATGGGAGAAATCTCACGAATACAATGAATTATTTGTGGACACTAACCTCCTGCACGATGTATTGACAGAAGACCACACGTTATTATCAATTAATCAGATAATTAATCTCGAATTTGAAGAAATCTACCTCGCCCCTAAAAAAATTTAAAAATAAAAGCGCTTCAACTAAATATTTATTGAATTTAAAGTTGAAACTAATTATTTTTTGGTTCCATATGAAGCTAACAAAATTTATGTGATCAAAACATATTTTAAATCGGTATGAGTGTAATTTATTAATAGCATACTTTCAAGAATGTTGTGGAAGGGTCTAAATGGTATGCTCAAGAATGGAATCAAGAATTTATTAAGACAGGGAATTAAATATACTAAGGAGATATTAAAGTATCTTTTTTATTTTTCATAAATACATTCATTTAATTGAAGGATATAAGTAATTTTTTTATTATTTATTTTTAAAAATATATATTTTAATATTAATTAATACTTTAAAAAAATTAGCCGTGAAATTCCGCCCATGGATATGCTTTGCAATTAGAAGCATATTTTTGGAAAATACCGAACAATTTTCAAAAAAACAAAGGCTCACCAGTCACCCCTGCTTTTGGAGCTATTGTAACAGTAAGGATCTAAAATGGATTTTTTCCCCCAGCAATCCTTGATTAAGAACAGAATCTGGATTACCTCTGCTTAATTTCGTCATAAAATGGAAACATATGTTTAACATCCAAATTGCAATCCAATAGCAGAAATTTTCTTAGGGCACCTTTATACAAAATCCTGTTAGAGCTCCCTCGCGACCAAGTCGACTCATCTGTGTCGACTCAGCCGAATCATTGCCCAATTAAAAAGAATAATGTAGTCGCTTTTTAATCAATCATGATTAAGCTGCTTTTGGCTCTCTAAGTGGCTAACAAATTGGTTAACCATCGAACCCTGTTTGGCTCCATACTGCATCCCTGACCCGGCTCATGTCCCGGCCCTTGAGGGTCCGACCCACGCCTTCGAACACCGAAGCGCCGCCAGATTTCTTACTGCGAGCGTACTCACGCGCCAAGTATTCGTGTGGCGGCACCATCTCCGAATCGCCGTCATCCAATCCATCATCCGAGTCATGTACCCACTCCACCGAGTTAACTCTGTAAATCTTACTCCAGTCAGGCACGACCACGGGCGCTGACGTGGCCAAATGGTGCCCACGTGGCGGAGTTGCAGCCGCCACGCCGTCTTGGCTACGAAACTGATGCACGATCCTAGGTTTCGTTGAAGAAGAATCCTCGAAAGCCAAGGACAACCCACCCACGTGCCGATCGCCCCGGGGAATTCGACGGTTACTACTCCCCCTCACGTCGAAGTTCCCATTCTCGTTACTCTCAGCTTCAGCGCGAGGATTCCACTGGTGCCGAGAATTATCGACAATCACGTTGTCTCCTCGGTCTGCGACGTTATCGACCATCGACCAAACATCTTCCTCACCAAGTTCCACGTCGTCAACGGCAGTGTCTCCTTGGCCTTGGCCGTGTCCGTAGCTATAGCTTCCAAGCAACCGCTCGCTTCTGCTGGTGGTCAACAGCCGGCCTTTTGCCATCAAACAACCAAATTATATTCGATACCCTAAACCAAAATATCAAAGATCGAAAAAAGGAAATTGAAAACAGAATTTCAAAAATTGGAAAGGCAAATTAAGAATCTATTCTACGAGGGAATGGAGAAAAGAGAGGGCGAATGTTAAATGGAGTCCATTAGAGAGGATACACAACCATAAGGAGGCTTCGAAAGGGAAGCCATGGATATATAGCATTTGGGGAATGGGACAGTGGAAGCTATTTTCATTTCATGTGAATTTGGAATTAATTTTGCCATCATTTCTTCTCTCCACTCCCACAACCTCCAATCAGATCAACGGTGGGAATATAGAAGATGATAATGTTAACACAAAATTGTACCATGACAAATAAATAAAAGGCTAAATAACAGCATTAGTCACCAAGACATAATATTAAACTCAAATTCCCTGATCTATAAACCTCATTTCCTATATTTTAATCTTAAATAAAATATATAATATTCAAATAAAAATAGAATGTATCAGGCAATTTTATTAAAATAATAATAATAATTAAGAAAGAAAAAGAACAACAGAGTCACGCACTCTTTTAGGACAGTGAGAAACACTACTCTTGGTTCATGTACGAAATCTTGCAAGTGAAAAACAAACTAAAATTGGATTTCTGTTAACTCCTTATAAATAACTTCGTTCTTGGTTCAAGTTATATACATTTACAGATTGGAAAATAAAAATCCACAAGTAGTGTTATAATTAATTTTAGTACAGTCACCGATTTATGATTTATTAAACGATTATGTCGGATCGAGTATTGCAGAGACAAGGCGACACTTTCAACCCAGTTTATTTCATTTACAAATATCAAGAATTCAAACCCCTAATATTACTTAAGAGATTTAGTGTCTCATCTTACTATATCAACTTCTTGTTGATAGTAGTGTTATAATTATGATATGTGTTTTTTTTAATTAAATTTAAAAATTTGTAAATCAATTTAGTTTAATAATTATTAGCATCTTAATTTAATTTATAAATAAATTATTTTGTATTAACATTATATTATAATAAATCTTTATATTTTACTTTCCATTATTTTAGTAATAAATTTCCTACTTATATGTTTTAAGGTGAATAAATAAACGATTAAATGGATAAAATAAATAAATTAAATTGATTCAATTTAAAAAAAATAGTTTATTTAATCTTCAATCTGTGCAGCTTAATGAAATAATCCAATGTATTTTCCAAAATATTTTTTAAAATGGATTACTAATGAAATCTCATTTAATACATTAAGGGTAAAATACTTAGATAATCACTAATCACAAAGTAATTCTATTTTGACCATCAAACTATAAATTTTATCAATTAAGTCATTAAATTATTTAAATTGTATCAATCAAGCCGTTCACATTAAAATTTAACATAAATAATGACTTGAAAATTAAGTAAATTTATATCATTTCACATTTGATTCTTATTATTTACATATTCTATCAATTTAATTATAATATTTGATTAAAAATAATCTAATATTATTAGGATAAGATAGTGACATTATTTATAATTTTATAAGTTTATTATAAATTATTAAATGTTATTCCAATGAGAAGGTGGCCTTTATTTTTAAATTAATTAATAACTAAAATCAATTAGTTTTTAATTGAAATTATAAGATTATGACATATGTCATCATTTTATTAGATAATTATTAAATTATTTTTAATTAAAGTTAGGATCAAATTAATAAAATATGTAAATGATGATGATCAGATGTATAATATATAAATTTACTTAAGTGTCATGTCAATAATTATGTTAACTTTAATTTTTAATAGTTAATAACTTGATTAATATTGCACGAATTAAGTGATCTCGTTGATAAATGAATTGTTATTGTTTCTTAAAATTTTTGGGTTCGAGTATCATTAATGTCAGGGTGTGAGTGTTCAATGTGAAATGATTGAGAGTTATCTTTGAACATATATTACCTTGTACTTACCCAAATTAATAAAAAAAATCTTGATTGATATTATTTAAATATTTAAATAATTTGATTGAAAAAATCATAATTAGGTGATTAAAATTAAATTACCCTACAATTTAAAGACTATCCAAATAGTTTGCCCAATTAAGGTTGGCAAACTTTATGTGGTATACTAAAATAGTTAATGTATACTAAAATAGTTAATGAATACAAAAAAGCAAGATGAAAGGTTTTTCTAACGTTAATTAGAAAGCGTCACGCAATACGCATTTTCCTAGATAAAATATTCAAATGTTCATTAGATATATCCACGTCAGATATCATTATTTTCTTATGTTGTGAGAACCCACGGTAATAAATTTGTAGTAGTTTCGTTGTATGACTGTCTTAATATATTATTAAAGAAATGTTTTATCGAAAAATTAATATTTTAACATTTTTGATAAAACGTCACTTAAAACATTATTATTTTTTTTTGTAAAAATATCCTTTGTATTATACGAGTAGTATTACAAAGAAAACTCCCCAAAGACCTCGTTAAAAACCCTCCCTAAGCCTACTCGGAGGAAAAATAGTGAAACAATGGGGTGTTATAGAACATGAACACACTGCAGCACAACATCACTGGACGACAAAAGCAAGTTACAATCCCCAAACAAAACTCATACAACAAAACAACCATCCAAAATATTCAACTAATTTTGACTGTGAACAATGCCAAACAAATAAGCCAATTGGAACCAGAATACGCATAAAGCCAAAAAACCAGAAACACTATTATGGAAATCCAAAACAGAATGAAACCAGAACCAGGAACAACGATGTCCAGTATACAGAACGATACAGCATGAATCGCCATTAGCACACGCCACGAACAATAGCTTCCAGATTCCGAACAAAGTCGTTCGCCACTGAAATTAACATCGGCCATAAATAATTCGTCCAGACCGCAATCTGAATTAAGGCTTTGAAATAAATCTGATCTGCAGAAAACGAATAACCATTAAATCTGGACTTGTTACGACATAACCAGATTATCCAAATCAAACCAAAAAAACCAATGCGCCACAGTGACCGCACTCTCCTCCTAATACTCTGTGCAAACCAGACCTCTAACAATTGATTGACATTCTTAGGAAACACGAGAAATATATTCCACACCCTACACCAACGATTCCATACTTCCCATACTACCGTACAATGGCAAAGAACATGATTAATCGCTTCCTCCTCACTTTTGCAAAACGAGCAGCAAATCTGTCCACCACAATTGACTCCTCTTTTGACCAACTCAATCGAAATCGGAATTCTACAGTGCACTGCTTTCCATACAAAGGCCGAAACTTTAGGCGGAACAAATTTGAACCAAACCAGCCTCCAACAAGGATCACCCAAAGACCCATTAGCAGCCACTTTGAAACAATAAGCTTTCGAACTGTAGACACCATCTTGAGCCCCAGTCCAATTGACTCGATCTTGACCATACACAGCATTAACCGCTCTATCTAAAACCTGCTTAAAATCATCCCAAATTGGTATTTCTCAATCCAATAAAGATCTTCTCATAGCAAGCCTCCATTCCCAAGTACCCTGAACCCAACATCCAAAATCCTTCATCTTACCGCATTTTTTAACTGCTAAACTAAAAATTCTTGGAAAGCAGATTTTTAGGGAACATTTTTTTAACTAAAATGTTAATTTTGCTAACTAATTTCCAGTAAAACTAATTTTGCTAACTAATTTCTAGTAAAACTCAATATTAACATTTTCGGTAGAAAAAATAATATTTTAAGTAGAACTTTACCGAAAATGTTAAATATTTTATGTATCACCCAATATTAACATTTTAGATAGAAAAATAATATTTTAGATACCGCTTTATCAAAAATATTAAAAAAAATATTAATATTTCTGATAAAGTATTCCATTAGTCGTATATTAAGGTTACTGTACAATTTAAGAATACGGGCCGTACTCCACGTGGATGCTGACACTAACCCTTATTCCAATACGTATATCCCTTTTGGGTCCCACGAATGGCATCCACATCACGCCACGTAGCAAATGGCAAGTTAGAGAAAGATACTTGTGATGTCGCTGAAGAAACTAATGATGGCAGTGGACAAATGAATTGTGCTAATAGCCTTCCATTATTGATGGTTTAGGAGAAGTAATATAAATTTATATATTTCTAATGTAATTTAGGACATTTAAAGGTTAAATTAATCCCACTTGTGGCCGAGATTTATGAAAAGAAAAAGTCTCCACATTTAGCGGTTGACAATACAATGGGGCCCTTTAAGGTTTTTTATTAACAAATTATTTTTAAAAAATTAATGAAATCAATCATTATAAACGTTGATTAAATTTAAATTAATATATTTAAAACAAATTTACGTATTATAAAACTCAAGCATAAAAACTTATTTTTTTATATATATTTTGTGCAAGTACCGAACAATTATAAGAACGTAATGCAGTTTTAACACCATTAACCTCGCAAATCACAATCTTTTACGTCCAACTAAAAGTCCAATATTGGGCCAGTTTTGCCAAAAACTGTACCTGAGGTTTAATTTCTTTTATGGATTAAATTTATTTTATCCAAATTCAGGATAATTATAATGGTTTTTTAAGTGAAGATAATTATAATTGTTGAATGTGGAGGAGTTTGAAATTTTTACACATCTGAAAGCAAATATGATTAATTATAATGGCTTTGGACCCAATTTTGTACATTCCAATTACGGCAGCAGCAGGGATTGAAGAGAGGATAATGAATTGGGCGATGAAAAGAAAAACCATCCAAAAACATGGAAAGTGGTGATTAATATTTAAAAATTCATTCCATAGAGATGCAACCAATTAAGGCCTCACATGACCTACCGCTGGTGTCCTAATGCAACCAAACGCTCATGATGACAGCTCGGTAACACTTACCCTCATCGGCAAAAGTATCCCCTGCATTATTTGGGATCTCTCTACTTTATGGAGGTGAACATGGAGAGACAAGATCTGGGTGCTGTGTCACTAATTCGAATGCATGCAAGTGTGTGTGTTTTGTATTGGAGGGATGGTCAGAACTTCTGGTAATTCTCTCGGTTGGTTAGATCCGTATACCAGGAGATTCTCTTTTAATGATTGTACTGGGGAATTGGAGGAATCAATTGGATATTTTTACGAGTTTAATATGTAGGGAAATAACACTATTCTCACGTTATTTATAAAAACAACTCCTTTTTGTTAATTTATTATACAACGTAAAACAGTGTGATATGTCAGACACATTTCCAAAAACATCTAACATATTTTTTTTATAACTATTGATATTCGATATATTGACAAACTAATTTAGATCGAATACTACAAAGA